TTGTTCGACCTTGCTGCGATCGAAAGCGAGAAAACCCCAGCCGGTCCGAACCGCTAAACCAAGACGTCCCCAGTCAAGTATCCTTCAAAGTATAGTATCGGATAGGAAGGATCAAGGGTCCTAGGAACATCTGGCATCTTGGAAGTCACCACACGTCATGCTGGACACATGGCCCGAGTGCATCGAATCAACTGGCAAAGCAACTGACCATTGATATCAACGCATAAACCCATGACACTTGCAAATATTCTTCTAGACCGGATCTGCAGATTGTGCACTACTACCAAATGTTTACCTGGCACTGGAACCAGCTTTCAAGTAATCAGGGGTCTTGACTATGGTAAACGTGCAATGATCCCTGCCCCCTGCTACTAATTATCGCTATGAACAAGCAATAATATTTGGGAACACATTCAAATTTAACTAGGGATCCCCTCTTTTTCCTAGCAAAATGTGACTCTCCGTGTCCAAGGCATCAAATTCCGTCCGACATTTGGGTGTGCGTCCAAAATCGGGGGACGCCAGAATGTTTGACACCCTCACAAAAAGACACATATACATTTTCTGGCAGTGGCATGGACTCTCAGTCACACTCTGCCCGCGTTTCCCGAGAGAGATCCCAAGCCCGGCCTGGGAGCAAACGAGAACTCCACTCTGTGAGCCTTGAGCCTTTCACACCGCGGAATTCAGGCAGCCTTCAAGGGACATTCACAAAACGGGCCCAGGGCGGGGGGGAAGACATTAAATATAAATATATGTGTGTGTGTGTGTGCTGTGTCCGTGTGTATGTGTGTGTGTGTGCGGATGTGTTTGCGGGTTTGTGGGCTTTCTGTGCGTGTGTGTGTGTGTGTGTGTCGTTCTGTGCGGGTCTCTGGGTCTGTGTCTGTGGCTGCGTTGTGTTTGTACAACTAAAAAGCCCGCCCTGCGAGAGAACTGTATTCACAACTTTTGACGCCTACTTGGCACATGTTTGATGAATTGCAAACATCCTGAGTCAAACCGTTCTGGATCTGCACATGCTGCCTTTCAACATTACCTTGCCTTTCATCAGGCAGCCTCAAGATGTGCCAAAGAGTATCAGCACCCTATTGAGTTCATCTGAAGCATAGAGACCAACATGAAAACGCTGCATATCCACGCGTCAAACTAGGTTTGACTCATTCCCGCAACCCCGTTGTCGACTCATGCGCGAGGGTTCTGTCTGGGGTTGTTTCCTTGGACCCCAATCAATTGCCAAATCAATCAATCAATCAATCAATCAATCAATCAATCAATCAATCAATCAATCAATCAATCAATCAATCAATCAGTCAATCTGGAGAACTCATACATTCCCCAGAACACGATGCACATCGGCAATGCGTTTCGAAGCTCTTGGGAGGCCTCCTTCATTCAAAACATATCTTTGCAATATCAAGGTGGTTCGCGGATGCCTGTCTGAAAGCATGCCGCAAATGCTGCAGTCATGCCTGCAAGGCTGCTGCTCTGTTCGCCCGCAGCTGTCTATTCTCTGCCGATCCGGGACAGTACATAAAAATGATGGTAAACAGCCTCGGAACGTATTAATTCTGCAAATGGTCATTGTACGTATCCTGAAACGGGTGAAGAACCGCTCGAGACAAACCACCTTGCAAGCGCTCTCTGCTTTGCCAGGCGACACGCAAAACAGCCGCACGAGAGTGGACCCCCGAGCTTGCCATCTTTTCATGCGAGACTTGCGCACTGGCGCAAGTGGATCGCACCCATGCGCAGATCCTGGCATCAGAAAGAAAGCTGATCCCGCAAGAGCAATCCGCTTGTCAAAGGCTTGCAACAGTTTTCAATCAACCCCTGAATGGCCCGGACGATGAATCGCTTGCACAACCCTCGCCCCCTCCACGATCTCCACACCCTCCCTCCCCCCTCAACCCCCCCTCGGTCACGTCCACCCCTGCCACCCCGTCTCCCTCCACCCCTTGGTCACGTCCTCGGGCCACCAGCGCCAATGGGCGCTCTCCGCGTTCCAGATCTCTGCTTCGCCCTGTGCGCCGGCCAGCGCCTCGGTCGCAAATTGCAGGGCATCGCATAACCCAGAAAGTTGGCTCGCAGACCGCATGCTCAAGACCAGTCAAAATCATTTCATGAGGTTGACAATTCAAGCAATTCAACAGCTCCCCAGCGTGCGAGGGTCGGCGAATTCAAGCGCCAGCGGGTCTTGCGCAAAGGGGTCGCCAATTTGGTTTGTGGAGAGTATCCAAGGCAATGGTCGGCGAGTGTGCCTCAAGCACTGGTATCCACGTCCATTTAAAACATCCTGGAAAAGGAATTGTGAGTCTTGGCCCCCAATTCTCTGCTTTTCCACGCTTGCAAATCATCTCTCCCATTCTTGAACTCGCCGGCGGGCGCGTGTGTCAAATGGTTGCTGCCTTCCAACGCTTTTCCTGTAGAGAAGCACTTGAGCAGAGTCCAAGACCCATTGGCCTTTGGTTGTATGATTCTGAAGGCTGATGAGAGCCATGATATCAGCCCCCTGAAGCCAGGCAGTGGAATAACCTGCAAAAATGGCCAATTGGGGTTTTACCCTGCACCTCCTCAATTGCAGGGAAGCTGTGGGCCCGCTGATGTATCCCCGACTTGCCACCCGCAAACCGCCCGCCATCAACCGCGACGGTGCCCAGAACTCGTCGTCCACTGTGACGCAGGTTTCGCACAAACGACAGATCGGTTTGCGATCCCCGGAAAAGCTGGTTACCCCTTCTTCGCGGAGTCCTGCCGTTGGTGAGAAATTGGGGAGGCCCGTCTTTCTTGATTCCAGACGGTGAATCTCCCTTGGATCGCGGCCGCTCCTTTTTGTCCTCGTTCTGCCAAAGCTTTGACTGTAGCGGGATCTCCGTTGGCCAAAGCCCATGCTCCCATCAAACGAACCTTTCTTGGCAAGGGTTCCTACGTCCAACCATTCAAAATCACCGAATTTGCAACCTCACTTCAATCGGCCTTGCCAAAATGTGATGTTTAAGGCTTGCACTTCATACCGCCCAAATTGGAGATCTGTTTGTTTCTTGACTTCAAACCACCTACCTGTCCACTGACATCACCTCCTCTCTCCATTCTGGAACACGAAGAGGGTGTCGCAGGTGGACATGGCGAACATCCCGGGCGCCGCCGCCAGTGCACCGTGCAGCGAGGCGCTCTTCACGTCCAGCAGCTTCGCAACCACCCCGGAGTTCACCTGAGATGGCCACTTAGGTTTTCAAACTGAGGTCGCCAAGTCGGAGGGATACCACGGGGCACTAGTCAAGAGACAAGCCCCCGCTAGGGTACGGCCCTTTGTTTAAAGGGAAACCCCATTATTTTGGTTTTCAGGGAAGCCAAACGAAACCAGGGTCAAATCGCCAAAGTTTGAAACAAGTCTGTTTGGGGACCCTGGGTCGTTGCGGAGTTGCAACATGGTAGGCTCGCGGAGGAAGGCAACTGACCTTGACAACAATGTGTCGAGTGAGGAACTGCAAATTCCATGTCGAGTATAGTCTTGTAGCAGCGAGGGTGGCACATCACCTAAGATTGAAAAGGGGCGAAACACACACACACACACACACACACACACACACACACACACACACACACACACACACACACACACACACACACACACACACACACACACACACACACACACACTCACACACACACACAGCCTTACGGGGAACCAAGCCCTCAATATCATGAGCAGGAACATCGCCATGTCTGCCAATGTCTTGGGCAGTGACTTTCAGCCGTGCGCAGGCCCCTGAATGCAAGTTGATCTCTGGGTGAATCAGGGACTCGGCACACACACACACACATGTACATTTGGCGTATGAACCTTTTCGAGAGATTTGGGACTGTGGGGGCATCATACACAGGGAGGGTTGTGGCCATCACATTTTTGATGGGGTTTCCTACGGTAAATTGCCAGTTTTTTGAGACCCAGTTCTGAGGCAGGAAGGGTTGTATGTAGACCTCGCCATGACTGTCCAAAAGAACAACTATGAGTGTACAGTTGTGGGGAAGTAGATGGCACAATGCCCCCCCATTTTGCAGTCATCATCCCCTTAACTTGCCAGAAAGGGACTTGTGCCTGCAGTTGCCCGTTGTAGATACCCTTTCTCCCGTCTCGTGGTCTGACCGACATGGCAACCCCCACGCACGCGCGGGTTGGTTTCGCGCGCAAAACCACAGCCCGCGCCTGTGTCGTGTCCTCCTTGGACCCTGAAAACTGCGTCTCCGGTCCAAAGACCTGCGCGGCATCATGGCGCACGTCGGGTTTTGGGAAATTACATTGGATGTAAATAAGAAGAGGCAGCTAGAGAGGTTTAATCCAATTCCGTGTGGGTTTGGCGGAAAGAGGGATCGCTGAAGTCGGTACGGTGTGGGGAAGTGACCCTGCGGAACGGGTTCTCCAAGGCTCCCATTGTTGGAGGGTGGGCCTCCCAACGGCAGCAGGAAGGAACCCCAAATTATGCATGGTTGGCTAGCTTGCAATTTTGAGGGGCTCTTGCACGACTGTGGGGTTGTCAATTTGTTTTGCATAGCATCCAGTGAGCTTTGCGCTTGTTGTAAGGACAGCCACGTGGGTACTTCCTTACAAAACTGATCCCGTTCAAGCTCGCTGTCCCGAAAGCCATGCTAAATAAGAACGATTTTTGTTTGTGAACCGATTTGAAAGGAACATGGTCCGCTAATTTGGGACAATGGCTGCACAAGTTGCAGTATACAGTGACCCTATCATGCCACTGCGAGCTCCAAGACTGAGGACCCGACTTTTCCTATGGTGGGATCCCAATCTCAATCCACAATCCGTAATAGGGTTTAGGGTTGAATTTTGAACAACCCAGTTTTCAATGGGATACCTTAGACAGTGTGGCCAGCTTTCGAGCAATCCGCATAGGTTTAAAGTCATGCGCTACAAAAGATGGATCAGTCCCGGAACGCCAGCTTTGTTGGCAACAATATTTTTGTGACTTTGGGGCTGACCCATCTAT